ATACGAAAGGTACATATTCCAGTACAGCAGCAGTCCTTAGCCATTTTGGGTCATGAAGCCCTCAGAAAATGTGCAAGGACTCACCCCCAGAAAGTATCACACACATTTCTACACACAATTTTACCAGGTTTATGGCACAGATTTTCAATCCAGTCCACACATGAAAATCATCTGGAGAGTTCATAAAAAACCCCAATGCACAGACCTTACTGATTTAATTGCTTTGAGTTAGGTCCCAGGCATCAGTATTTTTTAAAGCTCCTTAAGTGAACCTGACATAAAGCCAGAGATGATGAGATCCACTATTCAAAAACTCCTTGAAATCTCCCCATAAAACCCTTTCATTCACTCATTCATTCAACAAAGATGTTAATTATTTGAAACATCTGACATCTAGCCAAAAATTTTGAAGAGTCCAATAGAAATGTAGTCCAGTTTTTCCTTTGTTTCATAGTCACTACTAGTCAGTAGTCTGGCAGATTGCCAGTATGACTTGCATTATTAGAAAAATTCTTCAGGAATCAAATACTAATGATTCTCACTTCCAAATTAATGGAACCTTCACAAAGGACAGGGTCACCAGACCACTTAAAACAAACATAAAGGAATGCGAAACAAAACAAAATGATTCTGAAGTTTTCCTATACTGTTTCTTATTACAGCTCTTGGATGGGCTCAGGAAAACCACAGAACCCAGGGAAGCACAGGCCATAAAATATTTTCATTTTCAAATAGAGCTTTTGAGAGTATTCTATTCTAAAACTATATAAAGCAACGTGATTCAATGACAAACGTTTAGTGAAAGGATAAGGAACTGACACAATGGGAGGAAAAACAAATAGCTAATATTCTGGAGAGAATCAAGCTGACCAATAAAACTGCAAAGATGTGAGAAATAAAACCACATTTATTTAACATTACTATAAACATTGGCCTCAACAAGCTTCCCTACTCACCTCATCCATTCAACCTCCATTCCAACATATGATCTACATATATACAAGCATATATATGTACTATTTTTTAAATTAATAGATTCATTCCATAAATATTACTCTGTAACTTGTTTTTGCTCTTTATCATATACTTTGAAGATCTTTCCATACAGTCTTATATATATAAACCTATCCTACTCTATTTAAAACATGCATAATATAGAAAACTGGTGGTTATGGTATGGATATACCATAATTCAACTAATCCCTAATGAGTGAATATTTCAGATATTTCCAGTGTTTTGACAAAACAAAGGGACTGTTTTAAAACCTTTATAGTCCTTGGTCTCTACCCAAATTAATATCATATATACTAAAATGTGATTTCTCAGAAATCCACATTCATATGCAGATATTAAAATCTAACTTTATTGTATGCCTAAAATTAATGTAACACTGTATGTTAACTAGAAGAAAAAATAAAATCTAACCTATGAATTTTGAAATATTTTTGTGTTACTGAATTTAATAATTAATGAAAGTGACATAGTATAACATGTAACATAGTATTCTTTTCATATTTAGGAATTAACAAAAAGTTTTCAGATCTCAAGTATTCCATAAAGCCCCTGAAAAACTTAAGCATTGTGCTTGGAGTCCTCAATGTATAAAACCACCCAAGCAATAATTCAAAAACAACAAAAACCAATACAGAGAACTGGCTTTGTGCCAGGGACTAATCTAAGTATTCTACATTTATTCATGCACATGAGCTTTACAACAACACTATGAGTTGGGTGCCATTATTATTACCATTTTATATCTGAGGAAAATGACACACAAAGGGACTAAGTAATCTGCCCAGTTTCACAGAAGTAATAACCCATTCTGTCAGGATTCAAAATAAGGCAACCCACCATGCTATGCTTATACGTATATCTTTGCTTACTTAAAAGCTAAAGTTCTAGAAATACAATTCTAACTCAAAGGATATGAGCAAGTTGAATTTGGATATATATTGCCAAATTATCCTCCAAAAAGCTTACGCTAATTTACATTTCTGCCAAGACTTTGTAAGAGGGCTTATTTCTCCATACCCTACATAAGAGTGGGTATTATCAAATTATTTAATCTTTGCCAGTCTGGTAGGTGAAATACCTTCCTTTTTAAAAATTGATATTTCCTTGAGGCGCTTGGGTGGCTCAGTAGGTTAAGTGACCAACTTTAGCTCAGGTCATGATCTCACGATTCGTGGGTTCCAGCCCCCACTCTGCACTGCTACAGCTCAGAGCCCAGAGCCTGCTTTGGATTCTGTGCCTCTCTCTGTCCCTCCTCTGCTCAAGCTCTCTGTCTCTCTCTCAAAATAAATAAATAATCATTTTTATAAAAATAAAAATAAAAATTGATATTTCCTTAATTGTCAAAGGACTACTGGTCATTTGTACTTATTTTTCCAATGCTGTTCATTTGTTTCATTCATTTCTATTGGACATAATATTTCAACACAATCAACAACAAAATTAATAATGCCTCAAGAAAGAAATTAGTTTAACTTTAAAGCACTAATATTATGGTAAAAATAAAGTGAGACTTTGGATTATATTAAATATATATGTGTGTGTATGTGAGTATAATATATATACATACATACATATATACATATATACATATATATACATATATGTATATATATACATACACATATACATATATATATACACATATACATATATTTAATGGAAATAACTTAAACCATTTTAACAGTGCCAATAGACACACTGAATAACTCATTCCTGGAATAAAATTCTTGAGAAAAGCTTACTCTTAAACCCCTATCCTGAATTTAGACACTGTTCAATGAAATATAGCTAAAGTTTTGCCTCAGTAAGATGTAAGCAATTAAATCTTCTACTACACAAAAAAAAATCTTCTACCACATTATCAAAGATTTATTATCCTTAATTTATTACATTTTTCTTCATTGCTTCATCACCATAATTAAGAAATAATGATTTATGTGTAGAACTAGTTTTGTTCTCATTATACCCTGAAAAGCAATAAAACAAATTATTATTTAGTCGCAAAATCTCTTATTTTACATAAGCTTATATCAGGTAACTATTTTTAATTTTACCCTATTATACTCCAATATCTCTATGCTCATCCTTCTTGTTGTTTATTAAAATAAGTTGATCAATTTTAGCATAAACACCTTGAAGGTATTAACCCTTGCAACCTGAAATATACAATAAATGTATTTTGATGAATAAATGAATACATTTTGGGGGAGCAACAGAATGATAAAAAAAAACAGGAGTAATTTATGTCATATTCCTTCACCAGCACAGAAATCAAAAAATTAAATTTGTCACTGCACAAGAATTGAGAAACTCTACTATCCATTTTGTGCCATGAACCCAACTCTATTGTTCACAGCAGGGTTTCTCAACCTTGGCACTATTAACATTTCACCCAATAATTCTTTGTTGCAGGAGGCTGTTCTATGCACTGCAGGACATTTTGCAACACCCATGGCCTCTACCCACTACCTTTCAGCAGTGCCTTCCCACCTGATAGAGAAAAATGTCTCCAGATATTGTCAAATGTCCCCTAGAGACAGTGAGGACCACTGGTTTAAAGAGAGCTAACATTATAAGAGAATATCTAAATCCAAAATGAGACTCCTGTGAACGACTTCAGAACCTGGGAACAGCTTCAAGAATCCCAATATGGCTGCTTGAAAAATCTCCCTAATGTACTCCCACACCTCCATTCCACTCATCAGCAGTCAATCCACCATTATTTTTAAGCCTTCAATTTGTATGGGTGATTCAACAAGAATTTGTTAGTTTCTTCAATCCCATCTGCCTAACTTTAAAATTACTAAACTCCTTTCCAAGACCTAGTTCCAGCGTCCCACACTCAGTTAATTATCTATTACTATTACTGAACTATTACTGAACAATAGAAAGGAGAGTGTTTAATTATATTAGATGGGGACTTTTGGCTGAGTCTTCTGAGGTAAAGTGCCAACAGGTCATATGATATAACTGTCCAATACTGAAGAGAAAATGAGTGCATAATCACTCCTAGCTGTGGTTCTGACTCAAAAGACAAATACATACAGTACTTATCATTAATAAAAGTTTCTTTGTGTTGCTGCTAAAACAATCAAGGGATGAGTTAATTATTTAAAAGTAGAATGACTTGTTTTCTAAATTTAAAAATATGCTATTAATAGACTCTAATATTTGAAAAGGACTAAAAAACAAGTTAAGATTTCTCAAAACTCCTTTAAAATATTAGGCAACAAAACAACAAAATGAAGAAAGAATTTATGTCTTTAAAGAAGACATCCCTAAGAGAAAATAACTCAATTAAAAGTCATTTTTTTGTACTAAACACTTCTGATATCTATGAGTCTCTTCTTTAACACTCAATATCCTCATTTCCAAAATAGTTCTGCCAAAAAGTTTTAAGCACTGAATGGGATAGATATAGGCAGATACAGATAGATATAGACACATATATAAATAAGTTTGAAAAGAATGAACCATTATTCCAATATAAGATATCAGCAATAACAGAGCAAATGAATATAATATCACACAGAATTCTGATTCTCAGAATTACCAAAATTAGTGATCAAAATGAATAAAGTTAACATATTTCTCAAAACATTTTTTTCTGACCAAACAACAATCAGTTCTTTTTTTTTTTTAATGTTTACTTATTTTTGACAGAGAGAGACAGACAGACAGACAGAGCATGAGCAGGGGAGGGGCAGAGAGAGAGGGAGACACAGAATCCGAAGCAGGCTCCAGGCTCCAAGCTGTCAGCACAGAGCCCGATGCGGGTCTCAAACTCACAGACCACGAGATCATGACCTGAGCCGAAGTTGGACGCCCAACAGACTGAGCCACCCAGGCGCCCCAACAATCAGTTCATTTTTAATTTACTTTTCATTATTTGTAAAAAATAAACACTGGAATTTTAAATCTGATAAAGTAAATCTATAAATAATGACACTAATATTTAATCTGATCATCTTTTCTAAATACTTACATTACTTGCAAACTTTCTGCTGTTAAATTATTCCACATAATTTCATTTGCCTGAAGATTTTCATTTTCTTCTAGTAAGGAAATATCAAACTCAATTTCTTGCTCTTTAGCAGCTGTTGTTCTAATAAAACATACCAAATAATTTTGATCAATATGAATATACTACCATCTTAGTACACATCAAAGGCACAATATATATTATCCAAAATTATGTTTACAAAGTAAAGCAAATACAAATAGAATAAATCAAATTAAACCCAGGCACCGAGATCTAGTCATGTAATTTCAGCCTTAATTTCCTCATTTGTAGAATATGGCTAATAACCTGTTCATTCCTGTCACAATGGTAATAAGTATGCATGGATAAGTAATTGATATATCATCATAAATTGAATATACATATAAAGTCATAGCATTATCACTATAGAAATGTTAAAATATATATATATAATTTCATGGATTAAATACAGTTTTAAGCAATGATGTAGTAACAACTGACAAATTTTTAAAGACAATTATACAGTGGCGCCTGGGTGGCTCAGTCAGTTAAGCGTCCGACTTAGGCTCAGGTCATGATCTCACGGTCCGTGAATTCAAACCCTGCGCCAGGCTCTGTGCTGACAGCTTGGAACCTGTTTCAGATTCTGTGTCTCCCTCTCTCTCTGCCCTTCCCCAGCTCACATTCTGTCTCTCTCTCTCTCTCAAAAATAAACAAACATTAAAAAAATTTTAATAAAAATAATTATATAAATTAGCTGTCACTGAGAAAGAACTTTTAAAATAGTTAGAAACAAATTAATCAGTAAATTCTATGTCCTAACAATAGAATATCTTATTTCATTAAATACTATATGGTAGAAAAAAATAATATCACAAATAATGAAAGAAGAGTGAAAATATTATACATACATACCTGTGAACATCTATGAAATTATTGTATTCTGTGCTAGGGTCTATCTGTTCAACTGACATTTTAATCTCTTTATGGACATTCACTATTTCCTCTGTAACAAGACTGGTTATCTGGCTGTATTCATCAAATATACCTTTTCTGAAAACAAAAATAAAATTTTACAACATTTTAAGTTTTCAAGGGAAACACAGCCCAAAATGAATTCAGAACAATAAACGTAAGAAATGTAACATCAATATTTACAGATGGTGGTTTCATACATCACCTTATTTCATACACCTGAATGGTAAAGTAAAGGGATTATACAAAAGCACAGATTCACAATTTACATTTGATATACCATGATAATAGCAAACAATCTAGAATAAGGCATTACTTTTTCCAACATGTATTTGACATGCTCAAAATGTAAGGTCAGTGTTGATGAGTTTCTATATCTAAATGCTGTCGTAGAAATGTTCAATTCCATTACATGGAACTGTGGATCAATTCCTATCTCTTCAACGTTTCTTTCCAGTAGCTGCTACTTCCTCAAATGCCCTATCCCTTGGTTCTTCTCTTGCTCCTGGGCCTCTGCTCTTTTCTGTGTCTTAATTATAGAGTTTAACTGGTTCTGTACCTTCAATGACATCTTGAACTCTTCTCCTTCAGTAGTAAAAATGTCACATCTTACCTGCCTTCAGTAGTAAAACTGTCACAAAATATATTAGCTCTATGGGGCGCCTATGTGGTTCAGTTGGTTAAGCGTCAGACTTCGGTTCAGGTCATGATCTCATAGTCTGTGAGTTCCAGCCCTGCGTCAGGCTCTGTGCTGACAGTTTAGAGCCTGGAGCCTGCTTTGGATTCTGTGTGTGTCTCTCCTTCCGCCCCTCCCCTGATTATGTTCTGTCTCTGTCTCAAAAATAAATAAACATTAAAAAAAAATTTTTTTAATATATTAGCTGTATCTAATGAGTACAAAATAGGGTGGCAAAGATCCAATCTCCAACTTAAGAGTGCTATGCTGTAAAAATATACCCCCAGTCAAGAATGGCCTCAATAACAAGTGTGGACAAGCTTATGCTGCCTTTTCCCATATAAATATTAGGGGCATTGTTTGCTTTTCTTTTCCAAAAGCATCACTCATAAAAATTTATTACTTACAAAATTTCTCTTATTTAATATCCTCTCAATTATTTTATTGTAAATAGCCAAATATTGTTTGAGTTGAGGAAAAAGATTTATTTTTTTTTTTTCAACGTTTATTTATTGATGAGAGAGACAGAGCATGAACGGGAGGGGCAGAGAGAGAGGGACACAGAATCGAAACAGGCTCCAGGCTCTTGAGCCATCAGCCCAGAGCTCGAAGCGGGTCAACTCACAGATCGCTGGTAGATCGTGACCTGGCTGAAGTCGGATGCTTAACCGACTGCGCCACCCAGGCGCCCCAAGGAAAAAAAGATTTAGTGTCGCTTGGGTGGCTCAGTTAAGCGTCCAACTCTTGATTTCAGCTCAGGTCATGATCCCACAATTCATGAGTTCAAGACCTGCCTGGCGCTCTGCAGTGACAGCACAGAGCTTGCTTGGGATTCTCTCTTCTGTCCTTCTACCCGCCTCTACCTCGCCACCTCTCTCAAAATAAATAAAAAAAACTTTTAAAAAAATGTCTGACTCTTTATTTTGGCTCAGGTTATGATCTCACCATTCCTACGATGGAGCCCCACATTAGGCTCACACTGACAGCTCGGGGCCTCCTTGGGATTCTCGCTGTCCTCTCTCTGCCTCTCTCTCTCCCTCTCTCTCTGCCCCTCCCCCCACTCACATGCTCTCTTAAAATAAATAATAAAACTTAAAAAAAAAAAGATTTAAACTGTTTCATGGAATGCTAGTTTGGAAGGATTACAGAAATCACCTGACAAAATTTAAAGAAAAAGGAGAGGCAGAGAAATTTAAAACAGACTTAGTAAATATCCCTGGGCTTATGACCACATTAAGTGAAAGTACTGAATAATATTAATGTAAATGAGCCTATCTAGATAAGTCTCATAAAGCAATACCATAATATGATATAGAGGTTATTATTAATATCTACCTTCAGACAAATGGAAGTTTTAAAAAAAGAAGCCTCCTAACGTTACATCAATGTGACATGGAATTCAACTGCAGTGAAATCATCACGCTTGGATATTTTAAATGCTAGGTCTAAAATAATTGTTTAGAAGTTAAAGATAATATGCTATAGAAAACTACTATGTCTCAAAAAATAGGAAACTACTGTCTCAAAAAGACATCTAGCGATGATGAAGATGCCATTATTGAGGATTCATGTGAAGAGTTTGAAATAACATTGATTCATGAGAGTAGGAAAGGAAGTATTTCTGAATCAACAATATTTAATTTAAATAGACATAACTAAATTTAGAAATTAAATATTTTAAGTAGACATTTTACTATTTTATCAATACCCTTCAAAGTTTACCTATTCAAGTCAACTAAAAATAATTTTTTATCTTTTTACTGGGAAGATGGGAGATCACCTAATCCAGGTCAAAGGAGATGAACTCTACCAAACATGGCCTATGTTTTTCTGTTGTCTTGCATTGATGTCTATGGTAAACGTGTGCTCTTGACTTACTCGCCAGAATATACTGTTAGCTCCTTAAAGGCAAAAATTGTGGCCAATTCACAGGCAGCGTGCTTTACACACAGTAGAAATTCAATAAACATTTTTTGATGTTAACTTCACATAATAAGTTGGCAAATAAACCTTCAAAAAATTCTTTCCTTTGATGGAGTCACAGAGTGTAATGCTAAGTGAAATAAGTCAGTCAGAGAAAGACAAATACCATATGATTTCACTCATGTGTGGAATTTAAAAACAAAACAAACAAACAAAACCAAGCAAAGGGCAAAAAGAGAGAGACAAACTCTGTCTAAAGGGAACAGACTTTAATTTGGAGAACAGACAGGTGGTTACCAGAGGGGAGGTGTGACGGGGGATGGGTAGAATAAGTGATGGGGATTAAAGAGCACTGAGTTATGTAGAGAATTGTTGAGTTATGGCATTGTACACTGGAAACTAATATAATACTGTATGTTAAATATACTGGAATTAAAATTAAAAACTTAACAAAAAAAATTCTTTCCTTTGGACTTCTCAGTTGCTCAATATTTAAACACTCAATCCTCCGAAAATATTAACTTCTTAACACTTGTCAACTAATGAATTTTTTTTTCACCTAAATTTCCAGCTAATCAGAGTAGAACAAAAACATACAAAACAGAAGGACCATTCTTAGGGCTAGCCAGAAGGTTTAGGAGATGATAATAAACTGAAAGGAGACGAGAAGTGAAAATCAAGAAGGACTAAAGTGAAACAGATGTGAAATACACACTGGGCTAAGTCAATAATGAAGTTCACAAAACACAGACAACTTCTTTCCAAAAGCTTAACTAGGAGAAAAAATAATGTTAAAATCACTTCATGAAGGGACTTTATGCCAAATAGGAAATGTATCTTACAGTGCTTTTATCATTTCTTCTTGCATCTTTTGTAAGGAGTCCAGAAGCAAAGGAAGTGTGGTGTCATAATACTGATTCTGATGAAGCTGTGCCCCTTTCAATGCCAATACATACTGATTATGCAGCATATGAAGTTTCATTGTGGCTTTGTCGTATCGTTCCTTGGCCTTTTCGGTTTCTTTCCCTGAAGAAAATGTTGAAGAAAGTTAAAAGAGATAAAGATGTTTTATATTCACTATATGCAAACAGAGTGACCACTATTTTATATTATTTCATACATTTTAGGAGTAATCGACAGAATTTTATTGAGCATAATACTACATACCCAGCTCTATACAAAGTACTGCTTATTTGTCAGTATTTTGCACACAGGCTGCTATGAAGGAGACATATATTACAGTAAATGTTTGATGAATGAAAGTTAATGTACAATTTTTTATGAAATTACACAGAAAAATGATCTTTCTTATCTTCAAGAAGCTTACACAAATTGGAACAACCAATGTACATGAAACAGTGCAACCAAGAAAACAACAAAGTTTGTAAACAATGTTAAATTTTGAGGTCTGTGTTTGAGGTTTCAATAAAGACAAGGGGAGTCAGAGGTGGCTATGTAGAAAAAACAAACATTAAAAGGTGGGGCATGTGCAGGAAGGTATAAGAAAGACAGAATGGATAATAATAATTCCTTACTCTCGTCTTCCCTTTCCACCTTTCTTCCTTTCATTTAATGAATATTATCCACTGATCACCACCCACCACCAAGAACTGTGCTAAACACTGGGAATTCAGTACCTAGCAAAACAGAGTCCTCAACATATAGCCACTGGTGAATTGGAATACTGAGTGAAAACGGGGAGAGAATAAGCAAAATTACATAGGCAAGCAAAGAAATAAGCTCACAGAGTAAGTATTAACAAAGTGAAGGAAATACGTCTGTATAAGTAGAGCAGTTTTAGGTTGTGAATGACTTGAAAGCAGAGAAATTTAAACTCGATACAGGAAAAGTCCAGGAGATATTGATAATATTATGAACTAAAACTTTTTGTGGTACCTTTATTAAAATAATTCAGAAAATATTCACAGAGTGACAACATAAACAACTATATAAATAAATGAAAAAAATTTTAATGCTTATTTATTTTTGACAGAGAGAGACAGAGCATGAGCAAGGGGTGGCGGGGGTGCAGAGAGAGAGGGAGACACAGAATCGGAAGCAGGCTCCAGGATCCAAGCCATCAGCACAAAGCCTGACACGGGGCTCGAACTCACAAACTGCAAGATCATGACTGAGCTGAAGTCAGAGGCTTAACTGACTGATGCACCCAGGAGCCCCTAAATAAATGAAATTTTTAAGCAGATCTTCAATTTTCAATGTAAACCAAGCAAATATCTTTATTAATTAATTAGATTTAGGGAATAAACTTTTCAAAATATTTATTATGTTGAGAATTTTATTTTAAAAGTTTATTAATTTCATTTCTGAGAGAGAGGGAGAGAACGAGCAATCAGAGGAGGGGCAGAGAGACAGAGGGACAGAGAGAATCCCAAGTAGTGTTGTGCTGTCAGTATAGAGCATGACACCATGCTTGAACCCACGAACCGTGAGATCATGACCTGAACTAAAATAGAGAGTCAGACGTTTAACCAACTGAGCCACCCAGGCACCCCTATGTTGAGACGTTTTGACGCCACAGGCTCTCCTCTGCTGCCACTCTGCATAGGTTCAGCACCCATCTAAGTATTCCCTATAGGTAGGAGTCTGAAAAGCATTCCCTGTTGAAGAATGTGTCCAGCTAAGAACCAAAAGCAGAGTAAAGACAGTGTTATTGTGAAGAGAGGAGACCTCAGACCCTCAGACATGCACAGGCAGGGCAATAGAATGAGAACAGTTTGCTTGCCTTTCTCATCTCCCCTCCAGTTCTCAGACAAAGAAACTGCATCTAGCAGATGGAAAAGAAAATCTTTCCAGCATACTGGTAAGTCCCTGCTACCAACAAATTCTAGTGGTTCCAAGTACCAGAACCACCACTGACTTCCAGGGAGCTGCACAGAATTATTTTACAGAGCATAATTCTCTAGCCATAGCCCATCAGCTGGTTCCTGCATATGGGGACATTATTAATTTCCTAAGTTATTTGCAAATTGCTACCTTAGAAAGCCTATTTTACTTTATAACATAAAGAACTTCTCAAGGAGAAAATATTTTAATCACCAGAGTATCTTTCCTAGCCCTTCTATCTAGAAGGGCTGCTATCTAGAAACAGGTTCTAACATCAGGTGGATGGAAACAAATATATTAATTTAGTTCTGATCTGAAGGGATCAGAAAAAATAACATGAGCCACTAAAGAAATGGATATTCTCACTTTTGGACTACAACTCACAGGATAATATATTTTATTTCATGAGCCAATTATCATATACATTTTTAAATATATAATTAAGGGGCGCCTGGGTGGCGCAGTCGGTTAAGCGTCCGACTTCAGCCAGGTCACGATCTCGCGGTCCGTGAGTTCGAGCCCCGCGTCAGGCTCTGGGCTGATGGCTCGGAGCCTGGAGCCTGTTTCCGATTCTGTGTCTCCCTCTCTCTCTGCCCCTCCCCCGTTCATGCTCTGTCTCTCTCTGTCTCAAAAATAAAAATAAAAAACGTTGAAAAAAATTTTTTTTAAATATATAATTAAAATAAATTCATGAAATAATTCTTCCCCTTCCTATGAAGGATACCCTGTTATTTTAAAAAGGTCTGTTTTATTTGAATTTTTAATTCTTTTAAATCTTCATTGAGAACTCAATATATTTTTTTGCCTCAGTTACCCTACAGAAATTTTAAGTCATTCTGTATAGCACTAGGGATATTTTTTTTAACTTAGTAATTACCAAATTACCTCAGTAATACTAATCATGAATGATATTTTAAGGTTCTCAGTAACACATTCTCCTACATGTTCAATTAATATAATAGTTTTTTTTTTCCACAGAATAATATATTTATTTACCCACAAATATTGCTATTTGGCATCCTTCTTACAAAAATATATTTCAAAAATGTCCCCAAGAGTCTATGCAGTTTACATATCTATGGCCAGCCTCAGAGCCTCCGTCAAAAATAACAATCCCTTTATCTCCCTATCCACACTAGTCAGGATGAGACTCCTATATGAAGCTAATACTCAAAAGCCAAAGTGCATACCCAACCAAATCAGAATCCATTTTTTGGCTGGAGGCTAAATCACATTAATGTCTGAATGAGAGTGAAAACTCGACAAACACCTGCTGCAGAAGCTGCCAGAGCAGCCCTTTCCAAGGCCCTTTTATTTTCTTTTTTTAATTTCATTAATCATTTTTAAGCTAGTTTAAATATATGTTACTTAAAATTCAGCAAATTCTGACAGAAATTCCAATGGTCATATACAATTAGGCAGACAAATTGATTCAAAGTAATAAAGAAATTTTCTAGAGTCTACGTGTTGATAATAAGAAAATAAGGCATGCATCTACCAGACAAGACTATTTAAGTACTGTGTTCTAATTTGTTAATTGTTATTGTAAATTCACAAAGTATAACTACATAGTAAATTCCATATTTTAAATCATTTTTTAAATATTACTTTTTATATGAACTCTATTATTCCTAATTAATTTCTTGGATTTTTAGTACAACTTCAGGAGTCAAGCTCTCCACACAAACATTTTCATGGAGACATTTAAACCACCCATCTGTCCTCCTATCTGCACAGATTTTTTAAACTGCAAACTACCCATCTGTCTTTCTAGATGGTGAAAAATGATGCACTAAATGTGTAACGCTCAGCTAAGATTTTATAATCTAAAGTCTTATTAGAAAAGTTAAGAATTTCTTTTTTTTCTTTATCATACCCAGTATATGACAAACGATCTGAAGAAGACTATTATAACCATATCAAAATATCAACAGCTTATAAGTGGTAATTAACACAATTGATGAAAAAAATTAAATGCCTTTGAAAATATCCAAGGCAGAATTTATTACATTAAAATACTACTACTAATAATAAAGAGCTTTGGGTTTAATACGAGCTTAATAAGAGCTTTGGGCTTAAAACTGAATTTGAGGGTGTGTTTTAGCAGGCTTTTGGTTTGTTTGCTTTTGTACTCTACAGCTCACATACACTTATGCATTTGGTTATCTGATGTACTTGTGCATGTGCGTGATCGATCAATCAACACCCTCCCTCCCCTGTAGAAAGCTCCAAGAACATGTTCACTTGCTATGATTTCAAAAGGGATTTTATTATAGTTTTTCCTGATTTACTTTAAAATAATTATTTAGGTCCCATACAAACTATATAAGTAAATTCAAGAAATAGTAATACCTTGTGAAAACCAAAGTCACAAATAAAATATTTTCTGTTCCATTCACGTAATGAAACATGTGGCAAAAAACCCTAACACAATTCTCGCCACGTCACTTCTTGGTGCAGAATATTTCACATCATTATTACTCTTTCTTAACTTTTAAATAACATTTGAGCCTAAAATTAATATGAAGTATACAGATTAAGTAAATTCTTATTGACAGGCACAGAATTATACCTCTGTTGCCATATGACTTTTTTTCTTTTTTAATGAAGAGAGGCATTCAAGCAGGGCATGGAGTTGTCCCATGTGTCAATTAACAGGCAGGAAAACATCTAATTTTTCCTCCTGCACATAATGAATTTCACAAAGAGATTGTATTATAATTCTTTTGTCACCACTTGTTGACAAATCTGTTTAATGTTTGTAATAACAGAGTGTATACACAATATGCCATGCCATAAACAATATTATGAAGCTAGCAAAACTCAATTATGTAAGTTTGACATTTACAAGAGACAGGCAAGACTATTCATTCAGCTAGTCTAGAAAGTCCAGTATTTTTTATTATAAACTTCAGAAGTGTTTGCCATTTGCTAAATATTATGGTGGAAAGCCTCCTGATAATAAATGAGAAGTGATTATTTTCAAAAAGCAAAATGCCTGCACATAGACTCTGCTTTGATTTGGATAACTAAACGTTCTACCATCTTACATTTTTCTTTCCTGTCAAACCATTCCTCCTCAACTATATAATTTCTACTTATTGCTCTGAGAAAGAAGAAAATGAGCAAGAATTCATCCTAACTTATAAGTTATTTGGGCCAAATGTCCACATATGTTTTTT